CTGGGTGAGAACAATTTAGACTCAGGCTAGGCCCTGGCAGCAGGTGGCCAGCAGGGCCCGAAGTGAGTGGTACCACCCTAACTGGACTGCCCTGGATGCCACGAGCCCTGTGTGCCCCATCTGGGAAGAATACTGCTGTGGAGCCCCTGCATCAGCCTTCTGCACCCCAGCTCCCCTCTGCAGCCCTGACTGCCCGGCCCTCATCAACCCCCTACCCTGCCCCCAAACAACAGCTAGAGTCCGCTCTGTTGTTTTTCTTTAATAAACTTATTTAGGCATAATGTAAAAATTACAAAGACCGTTCAGAGAGCTCCCTTGTGCCCTTCACCCAGCTTCCCCTAAGGTTAACATCTTGCATAACCATGACATGTGTCCCAAAACCAAGGGATCAAAATTGGCACAATACTGTAAACCAAACTCCAGATGTGCTCAGACTCCAATTCCACTAATGTCCCTTTTCTGCTTGATTGTTAAATTTACTGAGCATTCTGTGCCAGCATAGAGGCATTGCAGGCCCAGCCCTGCCCTCAAGGACTCATGGCCTGGGGTAAAGGTGGGCGGGGAGCAGAGAACAGATATGAGAATGAGACAATTGCCCTTCCACAAGATCTAGATAGAGTAAGGAAGGCTTGCAGGTGGGACAGAGGGGAAGCCCTTGGTTCCAGTGGGGGAAGGGTCCCAGTCTGAGCTGAGACTTGAAGGGCAAGTAGTGTTTGCTCCTTCTTCCTCCTTCACTACCTCCAGTAGTCAATGCTCTTACCTTGCTACTGGCCCAGAGTTTACTGCAGGCCCATCTCCCACTGACTTCTCAGTGAAGACAAAGGCCAAATCACAGAGTGAGTTAAGGCCAGGTACTCTGGAGGCAGACAGGGGCCGAATACCAGCCTTATTGCTGTGTGACTCTGAGCAGGTGACTGACCCTCTCTGGGCTTCAGTCAGTCTCCTTACTCTTTCGCTCCATCTCTCTCCATCTCTGTTTCAGACCCTGCATTTCAGGCTTTCTGTCAGAAACAGTGTCTTCCTATCTCCAGTTGATCTCACCTCGGCCTCTCTTCGCCATGGCCCTCCCCCCCATCCCAACCCCTTGAAGTCTCATTAATTTTGAGAGCTTGTCTTTATGGATTTTCCCGCCCGGCCCTGTCCTGGGGCTCAGAGAGCTGTGTAATTATCCACTTGGAGCCAAAGGGAAGCTATAACCAGTTCTCCCTCCCTCCTTTCCTGCCTGCTTCACTCTCATCCATTTCTCTCAAACATCCCCAGGGAAGGCGATTACGGAGGGGCCTGCTGGGTGAGGAAGGCTGGGCATCCTCATTAGCTTGTAAAAGTTCAGAAAGAGTGAGTGAGAGGCATCTCTCCAGCCTCCCCCCAGTCTAAGGTCCTGAACCCCCAGGCCTAGGTCCTTTTGTCTGTCTTGAACATCACGCTTTGTCTCCACCCAGGAGGTCTCTTCTGTTCAGCCAGTTCTCTCTAGGACATCTACCTGGATACATCTCACAGGCCCTCAAACCCAACAACCCAAACCTGGACACATCATTCCTTCTACCAGATCTGCTCCCCTACCCCCTCCTTCCTCCTGCTCCCCTTCTCCACTCCTAATCTTCTGAAGCACCAGCCACCCAGGATCTCAGTAAGACACCGACATCATTCTTGCCTCACACCCTTGGCTAATCAGCTGCAACCATCCATTTCTCTGTTTACTTCAGCCCAGTTTCCATGTCCTAAAAGTCACCCGGGAGCTGGCCCCTTCACCTGGATAGCCTGTGGTCCCTCAAAGTGGCAATGTCCCAATCTGACTATATCATCTTGCCCCAAAATTTCCCCGCCTCTATCCATGGCACCCCCACTTCCCATCACTGATACAAGCTCTTCACCTCCTCCTACTCCCCCCACATGCAGCCAAACAGTCCCCATGCTATGACAAGAGAATGGGCTTTGGAGTCAGTAAGAACTGAGTTACAACCCAGCTCCATTATTCCCTAACTGTGTGACCTGGGACAGATCACTTCACCTTTGACTCTGTTTCATCATCTGTAAAATGGGGCTAAGGGCACTCACCTTGCAGGGCTGTTGGGAAGGTTGGTTGAAAATGTCCAGGATTACAATCTCAAATGACTAAGGGCCAGGCAAGTAACATATATGAGTGAAGGGGCCCGGTGGGATCTGCGGCAAACTGGAGAGTGGATGCCCCATCGAAAGGGGCAGCTATTCGTCACTCCAGCTATTGATATGGGCTCCATTTTGCCAGAACTTCCAGTTTTTCAAGTGCAGCTCTCAATCATGTCTTCACAGGAAATTTCCAGATCTGTATATGTTGGCAATTAATTGAAGTGTTTCTTTAGCATCATGAAGGCCAAACAAAACATTTGCCTCCAGGTCACTAGTTTGTACTCTGATGTATACAAGGACTTGGGCCCAGTGCATGTTCATAGCAAAGTCAATAAACATTCATTCCCTGCTCTGCCCTTTTTATTGATTCTCCCAAAATAAAAGAAAAAAAAAAATGTCTCTCTAAGCCATTCCTCCCATTCCACTCCCATCATCATCATCCTCATGCAGCCCTCCTTGGCCATCAGCCACAAGCCCTGTCCACCCACAGACCCAGGCAGGGTGCTGAGCACCTCACCCAAGATGCCTCCCTCTCCTCCCCAGTTAACTGGGCTCTTTGCTTGGGTCTGATGCTTCAGAGTTGACAAACCCTCTCGCTTTCATTTTCTCATTTATCTTTTTAACAACCTATAAGGTAGTTATCATTGACCCCAACACCCAAGGGAGGGAAGAGGGGTCCAGAGGGCATAAGCCGATCAGCAAATACTTATTAAACACCTAAAACTGTGTACCAGGCTCTGTTAAATGGCAAATCCAAGGTTACACAGAGTATCCTTGGTTGCAAGTGACAGAAACCTAAATTAAACAGGCTCAAGCAAAGGAACAATATAGTGGCTTACCTGCATGCAGGAAGGAAAACAAGTCAGTGGGCTTCGAAGATAAATGGAGCCCAAGACACAAATGCTTTCCGAGCACTCACTGGCTCCCGTCTCGTTTCTGCTTCCTTTTCTGAATGTCCTAGAATCATTTTTCTCATCCAGCAGAGCAGTATTTCCAAACAGCAGGCCATCAGCCAGCCGGTCTAGAGCCTCATTACTCACTGTATTTATCATCTAATGGATAGTCTCCTTGTCCTATGTTCAAAAGTCTCGGGGAAGGACACTTAGGAGATCAGCATGGATTACATTGTCACATTGGGCCAATCAATTGAGCAAGGCAAGTATAACCGATGAGCTCAATTTGGGGCCAATCCCATCCCTGGGCCAATCAACAGTCAATGAGAGAACAAGCTCTGTGAGGAGGTGTGAGTGGTTAGAGTAAGGATGGGAGAATTCTGCAGGAAATTAGACTGCTGTCTGTTCAAACAGGAGATATCTTAGTTTGGGCTCTTCTAAAAGGCAAGTCTGAGACGTGGATTTGCATGCAAGTTGTTTATTTGGGAGGCGATCCCAAGAAACAGCAGCATGGAGATGGGAAATGAGACAGAGAAGGGAAAGAAGTTGATAAAGAATATGTAATGGAGCAAGTTACCTCCATGGGCAACTGAGTTTAATCCTGCTGGGGACCTCTGGGAAAGAGGAGGACATAGGCCTCACGGTTATCTCATCCGAAGGGTGAGGAGGCTGGAAGATTCATCCCCTAACTTCCATCAGTTATTGGTTGAGGGCTAATCCCAGGGGGGCATCAATTCACTTTTCTACCCCTCCTGAGTAAAGTAAATGGGAAACACTTTGGCTCCACAGGCCAACTTATCTTGTTCCCAAGAACCAAAAGTTTACTCGCTTTTGGGAACAGTAGTTTTGATGGTTAACTGGGGGGAAAGGGGTACCAGTGCCTGTACTGCCTTTGGTCTGCTGCATTCGGAAGGGAGCCTGGCAGTGAGGGCTGGTCTCCAGAGAGAATCCAACCCCCATTAACTCCACACCCATTAATAGGGAAAACAGGCAGGAAGCAGAAAGACCAGGATCTTCTCTTCAAGTTGAGGTTGAGGGAAGAGTCAGTCTGAGCCAGAAGAACATGTTGAAGACGATGACAAGAGTCAGAAATACCTGGGCTGAGGACTGGGGGGACATAGAGAGCACAAATGGCAGTCTACTGGTTCCTTCCCTTTTGTCTAAGCATCTCTTTCTGACTCCTGGAAAAAGTAAACTCTTCTTTAGCTCTGATCCCTCTGCCCTCTGCTCTGCCTTTCTCCCTCCCTTGCAAGCTTTCTGAAAAGGTGCAGTCTGCTTCTGTCCCCACCCCTCTGCTGAATTACTGTGGCAAAAGTCACCAGGGACCTCAACTGGCCTCTCTGTAGGTGGGTCTCCTGGATGGCTTTTTCATGACATCCTCCAACACCACCACCCCTCGCCCCCTGACCTGGTTTCTCTGTCCCTGGCTGTTCTTTCTCCTCCACAGGCAACTCTTTATTGGCTGCTTCCTAAAATGCCAGTGCTCCCCAGACTTCTGCTTATACCCTCTTCTCTTCTCACTCAGTACACTCTCCCAAAGCTGCCTCATCCACTCCAGTGGCTCCCACCACCTTCTTGGGGCTGAGGACTCCAGCCATTGCTGCCACCTGCTGACTGTGGACAGCCCACATGGCCGTCCTCCACACACTCCTTCCTACTCAGCACATGCTGCTCTGAACTCACTAATTCCCAAACATCTGGGAGGACCCAGTGGCTCCCACCACCTTCTTGGGGCTGAGGACTCCAGCCATTGCTGCCACCTGCTGACTGTGGACAGCCCACATGGCCGTCCTCCACACACTCCTACTCAGCACATGCTGCTCTGAACTCACTAATTCTCAAACATCTGGGAGGACCCTATATGTCACCTTCCCTCTTCCCTTGGACAACCTGCTTTTCCTCCTGTATGACTCATTGTCATCAGTAGACCCATCACCTGCCAACTCACCAAAATTAGCCGCCTGGGAATCATCGTGGGTCCTCCTCCCATCTCCCCCTGCATATGCCTTCAGACCCCAAACACCGCCAATTGCAGTTATCTACTTTCCCAGGTCCATCCCTCAGGCTCGTCTCCTGCCTAAATCATTGCAATCCCTTTCTCACTGGACTCACACGCCTCCTCTCTCTCGAACAGAGGGAGCTTTCTAAACATACAGTCGATACTCATTTTTCATGGATTCCATGTTTGAGAGTTTGTATACTCACTAAAATTTATTTATATTAACTCTTAAATAAATACTTGCGGTGCTTTTGCAGTCATTCATGGACATGCACAGAGCAGTGAAAATTCTGAGTCACCTAATGAGCATGTTCCCGGCTGAGGTTGAACAAGGCAAATGCTCTGCCTTCTTGTTTCGGCTCTCATACTATGAACAAGTGTTCCATTTCGGGTGGATTTATTGCCACTTTGTCACATTTTTATGCTCTTAGAAAGTGGTTTTGCTATATAAACTGGCCCCCAAGCATAGTGCTGCAGTGCTGTCTGGTGTTCCTAAGTATAGGAAGGCGGTGGTGTGCCTTAGGGAGAAAGTATGTGTGTTAGATGAGCTTCGTTTAGGCACAAGTTATAGGGCTGTTGGCCATGAGTTCAATGTTAATGATTCAACAATGTATATTAAATAAGGTGTCTTTGGACAGAAACACACATAAAACAAGGTCGTGTTTGCTCAGTTGACAATAATGTTGCAACCAGAGGCTCGCAAGAACCCAACCCTTGTTTTTTTCCCACTCTGGCAAAGTTTCAGTACTTGCTAATTCAGTGTTTGTGGTGACTTGACACAACATAACTACAATGAATAATGATAATTGACTGTACCAATCTGACCAGGTAGTAGCTTCCTTCCTGCCCCCAAGCTTCCTTCTGCACACGGATAAATCCAAACTCCTGAATATAGTGTTCCAGGTCTTTCATGGTCCAAAAGGTCCTTGCTGGCCTTCCAGGCACCTTATCTTTTGGTGCCCCTCCCCCACCACTCACCACCCCAGTCCTCTCTCCAAAGCTCTTTGATGGCCCTTCTCTGGGGTCCTCTGCACACTCTGTGCCCTCTGCCTCAAAGGCCTCTCCTCCTCATCTCCTCTTGGTGAACTCCTACACATCCTCCAAGACCCAGCTTCCACGTCGCCTTGTCTGGGTCTGGGTCTCCCTCTGGCAGAACCTGACACTCCCTTCTCTGTTATATGTCTCATAGGGCTTCTCATAATCTTGCACCTGATCCATTTGTGTGTCTCCTCTCTCCTGTACTTGGCAATAGTTTTTCGGGGAAAACGTGGAGGAGGGATAGATGTGCATGACTCTCTTTGCAGGGCGTGTGCGTTTTATATGTCATTCACTCAATAAAGATAAATGGAGGCCTAACGTGGTACCGGGCACCAGTCTAGGTACCAGGGGTACAGCAGTGACAAAACAAAGAACTGGCCCATGTGTATGCAACACCCTGCCCATAGTGTGGCCTGTGTGTAAGAGTGTATACATGTGGAACTATGTCGAGCTTGCTGTGGACCTGTGGTGTTTGTGGCTCTTGGACACACCGTCCATTGAATTCCAGCCTCATGTGACTACTGATAAAGGGCATCTTAGAGTTGATTAGGCCAACAGGCTGTGTCTATGCACTAACGAGAAACCCTCCTGGGGTGCTCCCCACCTCTCCAACAGTCACCGCCTGGTCTGGGTTTTGCCTTTTTAACCCAAAGACAACATCTATCCACATGGGATTTTTCTCTGGTGAGTGT